GTACTCCGCGTACTCCGCAAGATGGTGTAGCCAAGTGCGACGAAACTTTAATCCTGGTCATGTAGGCTTTTAGGGATTGAGGGTTGAGGGTTTAGGGGTTTAGGGTTATTAGGGGGTAGGGTTATTAGGGTTTATAAAGGTTAATGGTGCAAGGTTCAGGGTTGAAGCCCTACGGACGTGTAAAAAAAAGTACATTCCTAAACCGTATACTGCCCTATACCCCTCAAATCCCTGACCATGGACACTCATAGCTAATGGCTCTTCCAGTACTTAAAGGATCATGGGACTAAGTGACTAGGGATATAGTTAGGGTAACTATGCTTTAGGTTTAAATCGCTTATATCCCCAATTCTCGGGCACCTATAACACTTTATAACCAGATTTTCTGGGCCCCATAATCCTCGAAGTAGGGTCAAGAGCACAGAGGCTGACGCGGCAGGATGCTCCTTTCGTGAGGCATCGCTTGTTGATGCAACTGCGGTGGTGAGTGGTGACTCTAGAGAACTTCTTTTTTTCAGGTGTCTTTGAGAATTCGGGTACGACATGGCGCCTGATGGATAGTAGATTCTGCTGCTAGCTTCTCAAGCCCCTGTATTGTATACCCTAAACCTAAACATCGTATAGCCGGTATTGCAAAACCAGCTAATGAGGAAGGGGTAGCTCATAGGAGCCTCAGTTGCCAGCAGAAAAAACACCTTAAGCCCCAAAACCCTTTCAACAGTTAGAACATAGACGACTTAGGATAAGCCCTAAACCCTAAACTCTATACTCTACTTAAAGGCCGTGAGGACAAGCAGTGACAAGCATGTTCCAGCTTCCTGGATTACTGGCTTAGACTTTCAGTCCTAGAATTCGAGGCCTGGGGCCGCAGCGTTTCCGATATTTCGTACATCCTTTTCCTACGGTTCCGGGGGTCTGGAGTGACAGCACCCATGGTTCCTGTTTTACGCTTGAGGGCTTGAGGCCGTAGACACCACAAACCTTGACGCCTTGAATTCCTCCTAAACCTCCCAAGCCCATGTGCTTCAGGGGGCCATGGTCAGCAATGCCCCAGACTGATAACAGAAGCAGGGGAAGCCCATTGCGCTGAAGCCGCCCTCTGCGCAGGAGAGTAGGCATTCTGAGGTTTCGCGTTTAGCGGGGTAAGGGCTTGAGCCATGACTAAACTTGTATTTGTCATTGTCTCGTGGTCAAGCTACCCATAGGCCACATAGTAGTTCCTTTTCGGGATTACCTTATAGGATTCTAGATATGAACCCCGAAAAGGAACTACTACGGGGCCTATGGGTAGTTGTTACTTCTGCTGCTCCTGTTGTCCGTATGAGCCTGGAGCCGGACGCTCGAGTGTCGTTCTCATTGGTCTCGGTGCTCCTTTGGTGAATGTGGTTCTGGTATTCTTCTTCTCCTAAGCCCTAGGCCTCTGACTTAGTTCTTGTGCAAAGCCCTAAACCCTAAACCCCAAAACCTCAAAACCCCAAAACCCCTAAACCCCTAAACCCCAAATCCCAAAACCGCTAAACCCCTGAACCCTAGACTACCGTCACGTTCATGATCATCTTGCGCATGCAGGGCTTCTCCCTCGTGCTTGAGCCTCGATCTTAGAGTCACGCCAGGGAGATGCTGCCAGACTTACCAAATGGGAGTTTCCGAAAGTAAGGGGGTACCTTATTTTGGGGTCCTTATAGTAAGGATCCTACTATCCTACTGTTTAGGGTACTATAATAGGGTCCCCTATTTTCGGAAACCCCCAAATTAATATAGGGGCCCTAAGACGTAGCATCTGGGGTTCCTTAAAGGGTCCTACAAGGGTTTCGGTTTCTATTATGGGTACTATGCAGGTTCTAGCTTAAAAAATAGAACGGGGTTTTGGGCTCCTTTATGGCAGAATGATAATAAGGAAACCTAGGGAATACTATGGGTAATTATTTAGGCTTCTATAGTACACGTATGAGTCTAGGCCTGAAAGCCCGAAAGCACCTGTGAGAAAACCGACAGCCGTCGTGATCTGTTCTGGACCGGGCTACCTATAGTCTCCATTGTAGTTCTTTTTTTGGTAAACCAATTTTATAGTTAAAATTCTATAATATAAATTTGGTTAACCAAATAAAGGAACTACAATGGAGACCATAGCTACAATAGGCATTACTGTTGCACCTTGATCTTCTGTGCACGTCTGGGCTTCCAAACCGAGGCGAAAGTTTATTGGGTGGAGGGCAGGCGGTGGTATAGCATATTGATATAGGGGCAACACAGGGGGATACTCATATATGCAGCCCCAATGTTGCTTACTTGTTTCCGGAACCCTAAACCCTAAACCCTAAACCCAATGTTGCCTACTTGTTTCCGGAAGCTTTGGGCAAAGAGGTGTCAGGCTCTCCTGGGCTGGGCTTAGGACCATTGGATCTGGCGGGGTTCGGTGTTTTGGGGATTTTGGGGGGGTGCGGGGATTTAGGAGTTCGGGAGTTCATGGGTTGCATGGATTCAGGGCACTTTAGGGTTCTGGGGATTTAGGAGTTCATGGGTTGCATGGATTTCGGGTTTAGGGCCTAAACCCTAAACCCTAAACCCAAAACCCTGAACCCTAAACCCTAAACCCTAAACCCTCTTTGGCGTTTCGGGCTTGAGGGCTGTAAGGCTCTGAGCTCCCACTTCGCAAGGCCCCGCCTGCGCTGTCTCCTTCCAGATCAGCTGGGGCTGAAGCACGGACTATGCTGCAATTTAGAGCTCAGGGCCTAAGGTCTAGGGTTCTGGGTTGAGGGTTTAAGGTTTAGTGCAGGGAAGGACGCTGGAACTAATCATGTTCAAGGGTGAGTTTGGTTGAGAAACATGCAGAATCCTGTGGACGTGGGGACCAAATCCTTTAAAGTGCATCTTAGGATCGCATATAGAGGCCTTGTCTCATAAGCCTCATAACCCTAGAGGCTCTAGGGTGGTGTAGGCTTGGGCTGGCGAGTGCAGGGTTCTTCGGCGTGAGTCTGTGGGTTTTGGGTGTGAGGTTTAGAGTTTAGGGTTTGGTGTATAGGGTTTAGAGTGCGTCGGCGCGCACACGCTGCGATTGGCCAAGAATACAGTCAAGCATAGTTGGTCTTTTGAAGCCCTTGACAAATGTTCGTGAACAAGACCCTCTTAGGCACAAAGAGGGAAAATCTGAAATATCGCAAAAGCTCACCCAGGATGTGAAGGAATGCGTAAGCTAGGACTTCAGATCTTTGGTTTTGAAATGTTTTGCGGGTGGAAGGCTTGAAGCATGGCTGTATTGGAGTTCTACTGCGTTTTTCGGGTCTACTGAAAGGCTTCCTTGGAATGTAGGATTCATGACTCGGTGTGGTTCCAGCAGTTTCCTCGATTCAGCCCTAAACTCCCCTACACCCTAAAACTTGATCAGCCTTTTAGGCTCCATGCACCCATATAGTAGATACCTAGGCCTGAAAGTACCTATATAAGGACCCCTTTAAGGCCTAAGTATTTACCATATGTTACATGGAGCCTTTGGGAGCCCTAGAACAAGAAGCCTTGAACACGCAGCAGAAGAGCGCAACCCAAGCTCAAGCGCCAGAGGCCTCAAAAGCAAACCCGGAACCTGAAACTTGGATTCATGTAGGGGCCTTAATAATTCGAACGGGGTTTTGGGGGGTCCTTATTAGATATAATATACCCCAAACCCTATTCTAATTATTAAGGCCCCTACAATAGACCGAAATCCGAAATCCTACCGGCTCAACCAACACGTCTCAACCCCAAACCCCAACCCGAAGCCTTCAACAAACCCTGAGGACTCAAACCCAAGCAACAGAAAAACCCAATCAACACCCAAGGCCCGAAAACACGCTCCACTTCAACCTGACCTGAACCCCTGCACCCTTAACCCTAAATCCGAAACCTTAAAGCTTGACCCCTTTACCCTAAACCCTAAACCCCTAAACCCTAAACCCTGAAACAAGCTCCTCATCCATGAGCTCGGAGCCGGCCAAGTCCACCCAAGGGAAGCGCTCCCCGACCCTGGGTTTTTGCAGATGAAGCTTTAGGGTTTAGGGTTTAGGTTCCCCAGTAGGCCCTTAATAATAAGGGTACCCTTTTTCCTACTATTTGGTTTTAATAAAGGAGCCCAAAACGAAAAAGGGTAAAAGGGTACTACCGGGAACCTATAGCAGCAAGGGTTCTAAAAGGCCTGTTCAGCGTTTTGTCGGTTTTAGGCACCTCAATGATTGAGGCCTCGTGCTGTCTTAGGCCTCTGGGGGGCTTTGGAGTTCAGGGACGGCAGGATCAAGGTTTGAGGTTTAGGGTTAGGCTCAGCATTTGGATGGGATTATGGGTTTTCCTGGGCCCCATGCTAAACCTTCAAACCAGACCCTTATTGAAGACCCGTGATCTTTACACCGCCCTTTCTTCAAGGCCCCCACTATAGTACCTATGTCCGGAGTTTGTTTAATTAATCGGGTGTTGGCAGTCCTCCTCAAACCCTAGACCTCCAAACCCTAGCCCTTGAAAAAGCCCCGCTCTCCTAAGAAAGACTAGAATAGGGATACTGCTGATGCTAGGGAGCGGTTCATTAATCAGAAGTTTGCATGAACCTTGGGATCTTTACATCCCTGAAACTCTTGGACCCTGCTTACCTTGGATTAGCCGGGTAGCTCGTAGCTCGTGAAATAGATGGCTTCGAGGGAACTTGTTGTTTGATCACACATCTCGAAACCGTTTCAACTTTCAACCTGAAACACAGAAAACCCTAAATCCTTCAACCCTGACTCCTAAACGCCCGTAGGCTCACTCTTACTCCCATTAACCACAAACCCTAACTCTTAACCCTTAAATGCGAAATCCAGAAACCCGGAACCCCAAACCAACAACCTCGATCAAACTGCAGCTGCTGAGGGGAGGGCTTGCGCTTGCGCCCCCCCACCGACCTCGGACCATATCTCTGGAGATTCGATGATCTCAGGGCATTGTGAACATGATGTCGGGGCCTTAGTAATTCCTCGAAGCAGGGCGTTGGGGTGTAGCCGCAGAACCGTTCGACTAAGCTTTATAAGGGCCTTAAGGACCAGATTTGGAACATTAGAGGTGATTCTCGTAATTTTGCAGGCAAGGTGGCAGCTTTGGCATTGAAGATGTCAGTGGTCGCAAGATCACAAAACCCAAAAAGCCTAAACCCACCAAACAAGTCAATGCAGCCCGGGTACAGCGTGGGCAGTCGCCGGAAGCTTTGAACATCCAACTCCTGGTTCGTTTAGGTTTCGGCAAAGGTTTAAGAATTTGTTGACCCTTTTTTTGCTGTCGCCCTCATGTAGACCCAAGCAAGGCCGCATTGGCCAGGAGAGCATGACACCAAAGCCACCCAGAAAACCCATACCCTTCGGCCCCCATTCGGCCGCATTTTTCAACAGGTTGCCGTCCATCATTCACCTCCGATGACATAGCACTTGCACGACTTTCTTCCGATGACCTCCGTCTTCGATATGTGTCGCCGCATACCACAGCACACCATCAGAATATGCAACTTGTCGAACTTGCAAGCCCAACATAGAGGATTCCCCAGCGGCGAGCCACTTTTTTGGAAGGAAGGCTCCCATGCGTCCATTGCTGATAGAGCCGGTTCAACTCCTCAAGTGATAGGCAGTCCTTGCGCGGCCCATGCGCAACATCGCTCTCAAGTCCTACATCTAGCTGCACAGGAGCATCACAAGGACGATCCGTTAAGGGACGGGCCTCCCCGACGGCACCACCCTGGTTTCCTTGCGTGGTGCCCGTAAGTGCGCTCTGCTCTGCATAGGAATGCATCGTTGCGGCCCTGCCCCTTGCATCGCCCCAAGAAGTTGATATCCAGCTACCCCAGACATCAGGTGTCGGTGAAGCTGAGCCACGCGAGAGCATGCAGCAGCACTTTTACGTCGCGGCGAGCCGGATCGCAGATTGCCACCTTTATGGTTGTCACCGTTGTCACACCCCATTGGTTGTCGCCGTTGTCACACCCCATGCCTCTCCCAGAGCCGTGCATGGCGTCTGCAGCTGTCACTTCGGCCTTCGAGCATGGCAAAGCATCGAAGGCAGCGCGAAGCTCCTGATCGAATGTCACGCTTCATGTCGCGCATTTCGATGTCGTCGATAGCCATCTCTGACAGTGATTTCGGCTCGCCGGGGGCAGGTCGGCGTGCCTCCAGCGCCGCCCTCATTTTTGACTCCAGAGCCCAGCCTCCGACATGGCTCACAAAAGTCCGCTAGGACGCCGGGGGCGAGGGGCCGGGCCATTCCTGCTGAAACCTTATGTTTTTGCCTTGGCCTTCTCGACCTTCAGAAGTTCTTCTTCGGCTTCGTTCACTTCCCAAATGCCGGAAGAACCACAACAGAAGTCCTCGCCGTTGCCGCTGCATGCCTCATTCGAACCTCTTGGCGTGCGGCTTTTTGGCTGCCCACCGCCCTGCGCGGACGCCACTGTGCAGGGAGCAGCCTTACTCGTCGTCGTCCGAAGCGTTCTGAAGCTACGCGGGTCCTCCGATGAACCAGTTCTCTGATTCCGCTGCGGCACCTGGCAAATGCCTTTTTGGGGTAGCCTCGGCGACCTGGACGAGGTCCAATCTATGCTGGAACCTTCTTGAGCCGACATGGCCATGGTTTAGGGTTTAGGCTTTGGGGCTTTTGTTCAGGGCCGCGCACACTGGAACTAGGCACATGTACCGGCGGGTTGAAAGAGAGGGACTGAAACCCTTCTGAACATGTTGTGCTGCGGACGACAGTGCGACGCCATGAATCTCAGCTACTCCCGCACTCAAAGTGTATGCCCAGTTCACAAAACCTTGGGTCTTAGAGTTCAACGCGCCGAAGCACGGCCTAGAGTAACCCTAAATCCTATGTACACTCTACACCAAACAGCCCTGCACCCTAAACCATGAGGTCTGGTCAATAAGCCACCATCCCTAGAGCAAAGTCCCACCTCCCCAACCCTACAACCTAATGCAAGGGCCTTAATCATTAGAATAGGATTCTGGGCTCCTTCATAGTATAGTTATACTAACCCTAAGGAATAAAATAGGTAGTCCCCTACGACCTAGACCCGTGTCTCTAATCCGTGAGCCCTAAATCCGAATCTCACCTGGGCCAAGCCTAGAGGAGCCTCTCCAAGACCATTATACTTAAAGGATTGTGGGGCTAAGTAACTATAGGGTCATTCCCAGGAGAACTAGACCGGTAACTGCTTGAAAACCCCAATTATCACGTGCTTGTATCCATACTTACTAAGTTCCATGACCCTCCTGATAGAACCCTTATAGATCCCTTGAAGGATCCCTATAAGGAGCCTTTATGGATCCCTAAACCCTAAACCCTAAACCCTATAAGCAACCTGGAACCTTTATGGATCCCTTTTAGGACCACATGATCCTCCAGAGATAGCTTTCTGGCTGGAGCTGCAAAGGGGCCTTGGCCAGCTTCTCATGAAGGTCGAACCCTTGATGGTGTAGCGCCTGGACGATTATGGAGTTTAGGGTTCAGGGTTCAGGGTTTAGGGTTTAGGCTTCAGGGTTTCAGGGTTTCGGGCGTTTCAAACCTTGGGGAGTTGAGAGTTCAAGGTTTCGGGAGTTCAGCGGTTTACCGGTTTAGGGTTTTTGGGGGTGCAGGGGTTTTGAAGTTGAGAGTTTAGGGCTTAGTGAATTGGTTCTGGGTCTCAACCTTATCGCGCAGGATAAGCTTGAAAGTTTGGAGTCACGAGCTCCATTCTAATTTCTTTATCCCCATGTCGGGTGGCCCTTAAAGGAACCTTTCTATATGTTGCATGTGGAGCCTTTGGACCTGGATACCTGCTCACCTTTTGCGATCTGAGCTTCCAGGTCCCTCCTAAACATTAACATGAGCTGAGCATGATCTATGTGGGGCATGTCCAGCTACATCTATGCGTGCAACTTGCGATTGGCAACAACATGGCTTGAGGATGCTCTGTCAACCACGAATCGCCGAAATGCCCTCAGCCTCTTACGGACAGGCGGCATCTTACGATCCTGTCCCCCCAACCCTAAACCCTAAACCCTAACCCCCCCCAAACTGTGTAGAAAAACTCCAGAACTTCTCAACCCTGAGCATGCTTGCACACCCGAGGAAAGCCGCGGGTCTGCAACATCTCGCTACCTAAACCCTGAACTTCTTGAACCCTAAGCCCTAAACCCTAAACCCTAATGTTCCATAACATAGGCAAGAAGGTCTTGCATGTCGGCAATAGATTTCCTAGACAATAGTCTTGACATGTCAGGGCCACTGAACTCACTGAAACGAAGTTGTCGCATCCACTACCCGGACCTCAGTGGCGCCCGAGCCCCAACCTGGCTTTTCCGACTCCGAAAACCTACATGTCGGTATGAACAATAATATTCGGAATCATAGCATCAATAACCACAATAAGAACAGTAGCAATTATAAACAATATCTACAGCTATGAAATTAGTCATTTAGTGTTTCTGGTTCTGGGGGTTGGAGATTTACAAGCTTCTTAGCTTCTTTCCCAGATGCAGGCGGTTGACTTCTTCTTGGGGAGACGGTCACTTCGAGTCTAAACGCCTGCAGGCGAACATGCGGCTTGTACTGAAGGTCTTCGGGCTCGATGGGTTTAGTTTAAGGGTTTAGGGTTCAGGGTTTAGGGTTCAGGGTTTAGGGTCTAGGGTTTAGGGTTTAGGGTTTAGGGCTTAGAGTTGTTGGTTCTTCATGTTCAGGGTTTAGCGCATTCTGCTTTTCAGGTTTTACTGAACTGCCTGCCCAGATTATGTCTGATGCCTTGATCAGCAGCGCACCGCGACCCAGCCCGAGTTTTCCGACCCTCAGACCCCACACATGCAACTCCTTGCCCGAAGTCCCACGCCCATCCGAGCAAGTTTCAATCTAATCAGTTCGTGCCTGAAAACAGCGTGCGAAAGTGCTGAGGGATCTGTATAGTAAAGAACAGGAAACCCAACGAGTTGGCGAGCAAGCTGAACCAAGGGTATGCGAGGCGTACGTCTTGCAAAAAAAACTTTCAAGGCCTTTGACCTAACGAGGAACCCTTCTGACCGAGTCTCTGTAAAGGAACTTTCATGCGTTGCACGGCCTTGACCAGTTTGAAAGCTGCCCAGGGCTTGGAACTACTTTTGCACAGGCTGCTGTACGTCTCAAAGCATTCACAAAGCTTCGAAACCCTAAACCCCAAACCCTAAACCCTTCGTATCAACCAGGCTCACACTCGAAATGCTTGCACGAAATCGGAGCGACAGCACTGATGTACAATGTATCCGCCAAGACGGTACTCTCGGGGATCTACCGCACCAGTGAAAAAGCCCGCAACCCTGGAACCCTACAACACTAAACCAACGTTTCCAGTACCCAACAGCAAGGATGTCCCTAAACCCTAAACCCTATACCCTAAACCTTCTTCCCACCTCGGGCGAGGAAGCCGCCAGCATGCCCCGAAGCGGCCGCCGCGACTGCAGCACGCTCGATGAGCACGGGGCGGAGACCCTTGCATAAGGGTTTAGGGGCTTAGGGCTTGGGGATTCCAGGGCTTAGAGTTCAGGGTGGAAGGAGCCTTTATGACCTCTGTATGGGTAGTTCTCTAAATTAGGTGTTCTTGTAGGGTCCTTTTTATAAGGGTGACGTACTATGTTGGAGACCCAAAAAGGGACCCGAGTTTGCAGAACTACCCGTATGTCTATGGGAAATGAAGAGACGGTTCTTGGCTACTTCAGGCGGCTAGAAGCCGCACAGGGCACAGACGGCCTCAGGCCTCTAAGCAGGGCTTTGGGTTTAGCCCCTTAGGGTTTAGGGCTTTGGGTTCAAGCCCTTTAGGGCTTTGGGTTTAGTGTTTGAGGCTTAAAATCTTCAGTTCGCGATGGAGGAGCCATAATGCCCACATCTGGGCTGTAGCTGTAGGCTCCTCTGCAGCCTAAGCCTTCCACAAGAAGGACAAGTCGTCAGGTGTGCTAGGGTTTAGGGCTCAACTGATACTTTGGAGTCAGAGGCCAGAGCAAGGTAAATGTTCATGCCATAGTAAGTAGGTTCGACGTAGTTCCCCTAGTAGGTCACATGTAACCGCGTGAACCTGAACCCAAAGCCCTAGGCCCTAAGCCTAAACCCTAGACCCCATGACCCAAGTTTAATAATCAATCTGCTGAACCCCATGACACCCTTCAAGTGACGGTTCATCGAAACACCTGTTCCCATTGACAATAGCCGTGGGGTACATAGGCCTCTTGCTTGGCTTCCTAATGGCCCCTCCTGCAAAAACCAAGTATGCATGACGGCTGCAAGTCTTATCAGAATGGCAGCTTCTTCACACCCCCAAGGCCCAATATTTTGGGGTCAGGGTTTAATGATAATGTTCTCGGGCATGGTTTTTTTTTGGGGGGGGGGGGTTGTAGGGCTTCGGGTGGTTCAGCGGACATAGGGCCTTAAAGCCGTGCGGAACCTTGAGGGTGAGGAAGTACGCTGTGGCGCAGCCGACAATGCCGCCGCCACAAATCACCACTTCCTGACGGCGTACTGAAAGACTCACGGGGCTTGGCAAGTAAGGTTTTTCCAGGGTAACTGTACATAAAATTACTTATAACCCCAATTAAGGTACTGCTCACCATACTTCCTAAGTCCCATGACCCTTCAAACAGCCCTTAGGCCTTACCTCAAACCCGAAGAGCCTACCTTTTCAGGACTTATATCAACAAACTATAATCAGGAGCCCTAAAAATGTCGGTTATTTGGGGTCCAAGTAAGACATGAGCTCCCGACTTGGGGCTTCATGGGCCCAAGACGACAGAGTTTCGGAGCAACTTGGTGCCTGCAACAACGCCTCAACCCTGAATCCGGTCTGGGGCCAAAGGCTTGAAGGCTTTAAGGGTGGTATGGTTTAGGGTTTAGGGGTTTGGGGGTTTAGGGATTTAGGGATTTAGGGGTTCAGGGGTTTAGGGTTTAGGGTTTAGGGATTTAGGGGTTTAGGGTTAAGGGCAAAATGGTTTAGGGTTTAAGGGAAAAGGGCAGAAGGGTTGCGAGCCTGGTGGTTGGAAGCCTGACCCCTCGGAATCCATTTGTGCCATGCACAGGTGCCAGGTCTAACTATGAAGGGCTGTAGTACCCACCAATAATATCCCTGAACCTGCAGGCAAACCCGGCTTGGATACTATGCCTGCTTCTAGCTTATCACCCGAGTTACTCATTGCCTCCTTACTACCAAGTCCCTGGATCGTCCCCCTAGTTACTAGTTTTTCAACACTCAAAAACTTTTGGACACCCCCCATTACGAAACTCTATAACCTCCCGCCCCCGCCCCATCGATCAGCAAGGCACTTGACCCCTTCATGTAACAAAGGAGCCCTCGTAATTGGGATCGGGCTTTGGGGGTGCACATAGTTTGAGGGGAGCGTTTAGGGTTCTGGGTTTTAAGGTTTAGGGAGACTACCACGAGTTAGTTAGACCTCTATATTGGGGTGTCTTGATTTTGGGGTGCCTTGACTACAGATCCCACTCTTTCGGGCCAGCGTCCAACCTTAACGCTAGACCTTAAATGTAACGAAACCCTATACCCTGCGCCCTAAAACATCCTAAACTCTAAACCTCAAGCCCAAAGCCGTAAAATAGGGTCACGTCTGCGAATCGTCTGTGAGCCTTCCCTTCTTCGGCCATGGCGCTGCAAGGCACAAGAAGCGAAGACCGAGAATGTGCTAGCGTCTTTTTGTTTGGGGTTTAGGGTTTAGGGTTCGGGCGTCGGGCTTAGGGTTCTGCAGTTGAGTTTTGGGTGTATGTCTTAGAGCTTAGGGGTGTTTTGTCTTTGGGATTTTCGGGCTACGGGGTAAGGCTTAAGGTGGAGCCCAAGGGCATCGGTCTGCAGAGAGCTCAGGGCCGTTTTGGGGGGTCGAGGCTCGGCGGGCTGAGGGTGCAGAACCCTAAACCCTAAACCCCAAAAACCTAGACCCCAAACCCAGGGTTTAGGGTTTAGGGTTTAGGGTATACCCTAAAGCCCTAAACCCTAAAACCCGAAACCCTGCGAGTCGAGGGTCTTCTCTCTCGGATGCGAGATCAGGATTCGGCTCACTACTTGGGCCAGGTCTCTAAACTTAACGTCAGCGTCTGGATCCCTAAGATAATACGGCTTAGGGTTTAGGGCCCTAAACCCTAAACCCTAAACCCTAAACCCTAAACCCTAAACCCTAAACCCTTTAGGGCCTAGGGATCCCTCAGACACTACGGCACCCCTGTTAAGAGGACCTTAGCAGGAAGCCTGGGTTGGGAGAACTAACCACTTGAAGTGTCTACTTCTAGCCTATAAGCGAATGCACATGTAGCTATCAACCTGCATGCTGTGATGCCAAGACGCGCTGGAGATTCTTTTTCTGGGTTTAGGGGTTTAGGGTCTAGGGGTTTAAGGCTTATAGGGTTTAGGCCCTAAGCCCTAAACCCCTAAACCCCTAAACCCTAAACGCTAAACCCCTAAACCGTTTAGGGATTTAGGGCGTGCATTCTCTGAGCCTTTACCTGCCTTTCGACGCGCGTACCGGGGTCACAATCGAGACTGCTGGAAGCTACGATAGGGGCCATGATAATTAGAATCGAGTCTTGGGCCCATTATACCAGACTTATAACAAGGAACCCCCTTGAATACTGTTGATGATATAAATCCTGCATTACCTAAACTATTGGGATTATGGTATATTCCTTATTCTGGGGCATGCAGGGCTTATATCAATCGTAGTATTGGTAGTTATTCAGGCTCCTACCCTTAAGGAGTTATACCTTATATTATAGTGGGAAGCATAAGAAGATGAAAGGTATATGGGTAGTTGTCAAAATTATGGTCCCTTTTGGGGTACCCTAAATAATAGGTGCCGTATTATAATAAGGACCCGAAAAGGGACCATAATTTTGACAACCACCCATATTCCTTAGTTAAGGGATATTGGAGTCTACAGCTTGGACCTGGGCTGCAGTTCGGGGGCTCCCGAGCAGAGCCTTGGGGTCCCCGCAAATGTGGGTTTAGGGTTTAGGGTTTAGGGTGTAGGGTTTAGGGTTTAGGGTGTAGGGTTTAGGGTTTAGCACCTGATTAAGAAACCCCTGGGCCACTGATGTTTCGAGGACTAGGCTCGGGCTCCCTCCAAGACCATCTTTAGTTATTCGGGCCGACGAAGGAACTAGACCTTGAGGCTTAAACCTCAATCCCGCACCATTAAATCTAAACCCTGAACCCTCAACCCCTGAACCCTAAACCCTAAACCCCAAACCCCAAATCCCTAAACCCTAAACCCTCAACCCCTTATTAACCGTGGAGTTTGGGATTCGAGCAGAGCGTGGGCATGGAGGGCGGGTGGGCCTCGCGAAGAAGCTGCTGCCTCGGTCGTAAGCGCGGTATCAAGGAGTCAGCTGGGGGGGAGGGGGGTAAATGCTGGATATATACATATATATATATATATATACACATGTATATGTACATGCAAATAAATGAATGCATATATACATATATATATATATGTATATACATACGGGTATGTGATCTATCACAGATGTCTCATGTTATGTTATCTCACTGTCCCATCCTACCCTGCATTTTGGAGATCACCGTCTACCAGGCTAAATACATGCTTGTTACTTACTACATCTCGTCGAACTGTATTGTATTACGTGTCCTGAAACCTCATGATATGAGGTGGTGCCACGTAAGGAACTATACAAAATACACAACATACTGTAATTTGATAGTTTGCAAAGTCTTGCAACATAACATCGAAGTTCCATACAACTTGAAATGCTATACCATAACATAATAACAAACCAAGCGCGACATCTATACTATGAGGTGAAATGTGTAAAAATGTGAAATTCAACATAACAAATGTATATATATATATATATACGAAATAAAAATATGCAACCATACAATATTATGTGTATTAACGCATCATAATGTACTGTACCATACTGTAACATAGCATGATATGATATACCGAAACATGATACAGTGTAATGTAGCTGACTAAAACACACTATAAAACTCTGGCAATAAACGATGAAAAAAGCGTAATTTAGTACATTACAAGATGACAGATTTCACGTAATGTGGCATTAAATCATATCCCACAGCATATCATGGCGTGAAATGATATACTGTAACATAATATACTAGAATATAAGATGACAGAATAGAGTACACTCTAAGATGATACAACATAATGAAAACATAGGAAATAACACAGGTCATACTTTAATGTAATGGAACATGATGTAGTACATACTGTCATGTCACACAATATGTTATAAACTACTGCAGTATAATATGTTACCCTATGACACACTATAACAAAACGTGATACAGTATATTGTGATACCGTGTGCTTTGACACTCGACATTAGTTCTTTTGATATGATTTTGTTCTATTGTACTGTATTGTCTTACACGAATATTATATTATTTAATATTTTAGTGTAATCTTTCATAACAGTTTACAGGTCTTAGCATATTACACACATCCTTTGGTGAGCCACCCTCGACGAAGGCGCCATCTGCCGTCCGGCGCCTCGAATGCGTCTCCAGAAGGTTTAGGCAGGAGCTTGTCTTTGGAACATGGGGATCTAAGGGATGGAGACTACCCGGCTATATAAGGCCGGGTATATAAGGACTGTACAATGGTTATTTAAGGTGATGGGATTAAGGGTCCCTATTCGGGGTCCCTCCTAAAGTCCTCAGAGAGGAATTTAATAACAAAATGATGGCCACTAACGTTGCTACAGCACACTGTGGCCACCCACAGCAACAACTACATGTGCATATCGCTTTGCACACCTTTGCGGTGAAGTTCGCCAAAGCCAGAATATTCGTGTATCAGCGCCTGATCCCCTAAATCCGGAACCCCTCGTCGCAGGTCTGCATGTTGTTCTTACCTGTTGGGTCCAACAGCGCTGCTGCGAGAGGACACCCCCAAACGACTGAGTTGCACGAGCTGGAACTGGATAGCAGCACCAAGCCCTAAACCTCACAAATCAATGCTAAACAGCATCAACCCCAAATGCGATATGCCTCTCATCGCTCCTGTCTGATGCTGTAGCTAACATACCGCTCAAGCCCTATTCTAACAAAATGAGACCCTATCTTTTAGCCATTGAATAATCCGTGGGTTTATGTTGTATACAACTGGCCTCCTCAGGAAATAAAGCTCTGAACCTTAAATCCGAAACTGCTGTACATGGGCCTTGAGAAATTCAGTGCGGCTTCGGTGCAAATTAGCATACATGTAACATGGTACAGGGACCAAATATCAGGGGATACTACTACTAAGTTATTCAGTCTTCCTACCTGTAGGAAGAGTAAACCGATACATACCACTCTGCACACAGTCGCTGCGAAGCTGATTTTATGGTCTTGGTACTTCATGACACAAAGCTCTCTCCCTCTCTCTCTCCCTGCCTCCTAAAACCTAAACCCTAAACCCTAAACCCTCCCTCCGTCCCTCTGTCGGAAATGCATCATTTCGGAGCTCACCGTGGGCACATGAAAGCCGAAGATCAGGCCCCTAGTCTAAGGTCCTTAGGGTAATGCAGGATTTATATCATCAACATTCATCAACAGTAGTTTTAGGGTTTCGGGTTTAGGGGTCTAGGTTATTTAGCTCAGGGTTTAGGTCTTAAGGGTTTGGGTTACCAAGCATACATGGGTCCCCTACTGAAACTTAAGGATAAGATTCCATCCTCATCTAAGGGCCATAATGACTAGAATAATTCTTTGGAGTTTATCATGGTGCGGTTTAGGGTTTAGGGTGTTTAGAGTTTGGGGATATAGGGCCGGAGGCGATAGTGCGAGCAAGTATTCAGGCCCCAGGAAAACCCATTGAACCATGAACAAAGGGTTTAGGGTTTAGGGTTTAGGAGAAAAATTTTAGAAAGCGGATCAAACCCATAATGCCTCTACAAAGCCCTTGTTTAGGCCAGACCCCTTTGTTGAATCCCGTATGCCCAGAGAGCCCAATACCCCTTAACTAAGGAATATGCCTGAAACCATAATGTTAAGGTCCCTATGATTTAAGGTCTATTCCTTAATTAAGGAATATGCCTTAAACTCTAATACTAAGGCCCCTTATCATTTAAGGTATATTCCTACCCTAAACCCTAAACCCTAAACCCTAGCCTCTAAACCCCTAAACCCTACACCCTACACCCTAAACCCTAAACCCTAAACCCTAGCACCCCTGTGTATTCCTTAATTAAGGGGTATTGGGCTGCACCCACGGGCCTGGACGTCGCGACGTAGCCGAAGCTTCTCGTCCAGTGCCTCTTCGGACGAGGTCAGACCAAGGCTTAGGGTTTAGGGTTTAGGGTTTAGGTTTTAGGGTTTCCTAAACAACACTGAACCCGAAATCCTAAACCCTAAACTTAGAAACCCTAAACCCGAAACCCTAAGCCCTACACCCTACGATGGCGGACCTTTTGGCTTAGGCGTCAAAATGCTTAGAGTTTTGTCCAGGAAAAAACATAACAGCTTCACGGCAGGAAGCTCAAGTGCTCGCTATGGGGTGTAGTGATACAGGAATGAAACCTTTTCATCTTGAACAGGAACGAATCGTTTTCAGTAACTTCAACTTCTTTTGCAAGCTTCAGCTTCTGAAGCAGCCCTGAACATTGAAGCAAGCCTTTCCCAAGAT